CAGGATACCCAGGGCTCGGTTTACACCTATCGCCATTTCTAGCCACTGGGGGACCATAGGCAGGCTAGGGGAACTCATATTAATGTTAAAAAACCTCATAAAGTGAAATTTTCATGCCATGGGACCTTTAATGGTTTATTGACGTGCCGACCGAAACTGATCGGTTACCTCCTCCGGCAATCGCGACTTCTGTTCGTTGGCGTCTAAAAACAGCGTAAAACAGACCCCCAACCTATAATTTGCACCATCTGCTAATTTAAAGGATTTACAGTTTTTAAACTTAAGATTAACTTAATCATTGATATGAAATTAAAGGTAAGACTGAACTGTATTAATGAAGTAATTAAACCTCATGATAATTGATGAGCAGTATGATGTAAAAAAACCCAATCTGGTTGCTGACGTGCACAGCGAGGCGGGAGCGCGCTCTGTTGCCTCTCCCTTCCGTGTCCGCGCTCTCGTGCACGCAGGGAGCGTGCTCAAGTGCCAGTGGTTTCCGTTTAGTTTCCTGATTATTGCTAGTGCTCGGCCAGGCGGGGGTTTCTGCGCAGCGCTCTGGAGAAACGTGGAATTTGGCTGTACGGCGCTTTGGACCTTCAGCCTCGGAAAACGGTGACAGCTTTTCATACATCTGCCAACGCTGAAATCAAGTGAGTTGCATTTACGCTGATCACTGACGGTTATGTTTTAATATTGTAGATCGTATTTGCAACCAGTAAGTTTGATTATGCAAATCAAAAACTTTATCGAAAACAAATATTTTAGATGTAACAAATAATTGGTGTTTCTGGCATGTGCTTTCTTTCCCAGCTGCGCTAGGCATTGCCACGCTGATTTGTTTTGTCTGCATGCAGCGTGGCTGGGGCACTGCCACTCCCAGAATCCATGGCTTTGCGTTGTTACCGTTAATTAACGAGTTCGCTTATTTGGTCATATTCATTTACGAGCCTTTGTAGATTTAGACATTCATTGAATTAAGTGTAGTCCGCGTTACTTTTAAATCGGCGCACAATTTTTTCCACTAAGTTGTCTAAATTCGTGTGCGCAATGTCGCTAAAGCAAGTACCGTTATATGAGCGTAACGCGTGAGCTCTGCTCGATACTGTTTGAGTGAATCTATTGGGCGTTTTGGGTTTTCTTTGTCTTCCATATATTAGGTGGCGTCTACGAATCTAATTTGGTCGCACAAAGGCTGCGTGAGAATCAAAATCCAGTGAGCTGCCTACTGGAAAGCAATTGGGCATCAGACACATTGAAATGACTCGGAACGTGTTTACTTCCCAGAAATGCTGTCTAAGTAGGCAGCACACTTGATATTAAGACACAGCCACAAAGAAGTGGCCCAAATGAAGTGCAGGTGTTAGTATCTCACGACTCACTGCTGGGCTCCTGTAAAACAGGGACCTGCTTCTGCTTTTCACATGCTTTCATCAGAACCTGGAACGTGCCCAAGGTGAAATTAAAGCTTTGTTGGTGTAAAATCGGGCCACTGCATAGAGAAGTTAACAGTTAGTGGCAGTATGTTGTAAAGGTGCCTTTTGAACCCATCAGCTGGGAATTGTCGCCCCTGGCTGATATGAAGGTTTGCCATCTGATTAAGCTGTGAAGATTTGCATAGCTCTATAAAATGGGGAACAGATGTATTTTGGCCAGAAGGTGATGATGACAACTGGTTTCACAATGAAAGCAAGTCATTTGACATCTGATGACTCGAAAACACAACCTAATCATCTGGGCTACAGCTGTACTTCTGCTTATTAATCTGAAATCTAACATTAGGAGACCGCGATATAACGGTGCAAAGTATCGTTAAAACCGAAGACTTCCAGCATACAGAGTTTCTGTGGTTTACTTGCACACAAAAAAAAAAAAAAAAAGAGTAAAAAGAGCCTCTACAAAAAAAAACTAAAAGAGTAATATGGATAAAAAGCGAAGGAGTAATGTGTAGGCCAGAGAAAAAGCAGCTCATGCGTTGGCAGTCTGATGCCTACTCCGATTTCACTAGAAATGTACAGTGGTGTTTTATTTCAAATGAATCCGAATGTGCATTGGTCTAAACGGAGCAGTGGTTTTCAGATTTGCTCGAAAGGACGAGAGCTGGATGCTGTACAGAGGTTGCAGAACTAAAATATGCAGTTGTGGGTAGTAAAATTGAAGTTTCCAAGAGCCTACGTGCTGTGAAGGGTCTGAAGAAGTGGTCGTTTTAACTGCCATGTTCAGGTGGATAGTTTCTGTTAATCTTTACCAACTGTTCCTGGAGCTGCCTGTCATTTAACCACTTGTTCACATTAAAGCGAAGGAGTAATGTGTAGGCCAGAGAAAAAGCAGCTCATGCGTTGGCAGTCTGATGCCTACTCCGATTTCACTAGAAATGTACAGTGGTGTTTTATTTCAAATGAATCCGAATGTGCATTGGTCTAAACGGAGCAGTGGTTTTCAGATTTGCTCGAAAGGACGAGAGCTGGATGCTGTACAGAGGTTGCAGAACTAAAATATGCAGTTGTGGGTAGTAAAATTGAAGTTTCCAAGAGCCTACGTGCTGTGAAGGGTCTGAAGAAGTGGTCGTTTTAACTGCCATGTTCAGTTTCTGTTAATCTTTACCAAGCGTTCCTGGAGCTGCCTGTCATTTAACCACTTGTTCACATTTGCATGTAGTTCTCACACTATTCGTCTCATGTACAGCGTAATCTCTTGTAAAATGCATTCACACTCACTCTTGCCAAATATACCTTGTTTATCAGAAGCGGCCTGCTGTGTAGCAATGGAAGCTGAACAGAATCAGGAAGTTCCAGAGGCTGTTGCTGAGACACAGGAAGTGGTGGTGCAACAAAAGGAGAAATCGGAGCCTAGGTCTGAAGAGGTGGCACCTTCAGAACCAGCAGATCCTCCAAAAGCGGCCCCTAAACCAGAGAAGACCCCAGAGACCGAGCCTTTGGCTGGGGAATTGCCAGAAAAGGAGAAAGCGACAGACTCTGAAGCACCTCCTGCCAGACCATCTGAAACCCCGGCTGCCGAGTCTTCTGAGAAACCTCCTGAGCCAGAACAGCAGAAGAAGTCTGAGGAGCCACAGGTTCAAGTGAATTCTGAACCTGAGAAGCAGGAGGAAGAAGCTGTGAAAGAGGTAGAGCCTAAGAAAGAGGAGGAGTCTGCCAAAGCGGCTGAGTCCAAACCCACTGCTGTGAATGAAGCCAAGCCAGAAGAATCTGATAAAGGTGAGGAGACAAAGACAGAAGGAGGAGAGGATAAGGTACAACCAGAGGCTGATGGAGTTCAAGCTGAGCCTCCAAAAGAGGCCGAGACCAAGCCGAAAGAGCCAGAGCTGCCTTTGTTCTTTGGCTGGTTCCTGCTTCCAGAGGAAGAGGAACGAATTAAGTGTGCAACCATGGACTTTCTCAAGACGCTGGACACTTTGGAGGCCTTCAAAGAACACATCAGTGAATGTGAGTGGACTGTGTAAACAAATACACTTGTGTTTCTCCTCAGAGTTGGTGTTGTAGTGCTGATTTTATTTATTTATTAATTTTTTTCCCAGTTACTGGTGAGGCGGAAAAAGAAGTGGATCTTGAGCAGTATTTCCAGAACCCATTGCACCTCCACTGCACTACAAAGTTCTGTGATTATGGGAAAGCAGAGGGGGCAAAAGAGTATGCAGAGCTACAGGTTAGTTTTCCACACAAGCCGTTTTCTTAGGCTGCGTTTACACTGCAAGTCTTAATGCACAGATCCGAATCCGATTAAAATCCACATTTGGAAGTGGCTCAGATCGGATGCAAAAAAATCGGATCTCGTGCGGGTTTTTGTGTTTACACCTGTGCAACAAATTCCGATCTGTGTCAGATGTGAGCGAAAGATCGGATTTTTTGTGCCAGTGTAAACGCAGCCTTAGATGTATCATATCATGTAGTGCAAATGTATGTGCTCAGATGTGTTTTTGGAATAAGATCCCTGCGTGATTATAATATTATAATTGCAGTCAATAACTAATATTCTGGCAAAAATGTCTATCTTGTTTTCCAGTATAAAATATTACATGTAATTTTACAGTTCAAAATCAGTCATCATAATATTGACGGGGGAACCCCCTTTATATTATCAGCTTCTAATATCAACAAATTCAGACCAATACTGATAATTAAATATTACTAATATCTGCCAATACTTGTATGGTATCTAATATGTAACATTCCCTGACAATTTGTTAGTGATGCTTGTCAAATCTGTCCTTTAAGTGTCTGAAACGTGCTGTATTGATAACACTTTACAATTCAAATTAAACAATCAATGAGAGATCATGAACTTACAATAGATTTATAATTATCATCTTGTTCGTTTTTGCGTTTTGTCTATTCTTTATCTCGTTTTTAATGTTTATTTACCTTTTGTAGCTGATTTGACCCTTTTCTTGCCATGCTGACATAACCAAATACAAATTATGGCAATAATCTGTTTTAATGTTAATTAATTCTTGTTTGTTACTTTATTAATGTTAATTTTTAAAGCATGAAAAGATAATTTATTAGCATATGGGGAAATTAAGATGAACCTACATTAAATAATCAATAATAAATATTAATAAATAATGAGTTTATTTTGCACAATTTAAAAAATATATATGAATGAAATTGCAAGAAAATACATTTTTTATACAGTGCAAGGAGAAGCTGAAATCCCATAAGGGCTTATTTAAAGCCTCCACCTAAACAACATTACATGTTCACAAAATTATAAGGAGAACTAAATCAAAATGCCAAAATTAATATAATGACATCATCAAAATCAATATATATAACTATAACAACAAATCAATAATAAAAATGTGAATGCAGATTATTAAATGCTGAAAAATTGTTTATTAGTAGTTCATGAAACCTAATGCATTAACTAATGTTAACAAAACCAAAATATTAATACAGTACGTATTTGGCCATATTTTGTCTTGCAGGTGGTCAAGGAATCACTTGCCAAGTCTGATGAGCTTTCCGTCACTGCTCTCATAGTGACCCCTCGTATATTTGGGGCCCGTGTGACTTTGACGGAAACCCAGATGAAGCTGTGGCCCGAGGGAGAGGACAAAGAAGGGGTCGCTCCGGCCCTCTTGCCCAGTGTTGAGGCTCTTCCAATGGGTAGCCGTGCCCACGTCACATTGGGCTGCTCGGCAGGCGTGGAGGCGGTTCAGACCGGTTTGGATTTGCTGGAGATCCTGGCTCTGCAGAAAGAGGGCAAGGAGGGCACCCAGGTCGAGATGGACTTGGGTACTTTGTCCTACCTAAGCGAGGGCCGTTGGTTCCTCACCCTGAGGGAACCGATTACTGCAGACACCACCTTCTCTAGCTTCTCCGATGACAAGCCCACCAGTGACCAGGGCAAAAAGGATGGAGAGAAGAAAAAGAAAGGTAGGAGACATTTTTCCTAAGGGCTCCGGCCCTCGGTTGGCTGAGGATGATGTTGTGTTTTTGCATGTGTGTAGGTGGATTGCGTGTATGATTCGCAGCTTTAGTGTGTGCACAGGGATGGCTTGGGATGATTTGGCAGGTAGTGTGAGACCAGACGTTCCAAAGTGGCCTGCAGGCTCCCGGCTTTCTCTTAGCTGGTGCCTTTTTTCCTTTTGCCTGGCAACACAAGCTCAGAGGCCTTAGTATCTGCCTTAAGGTCATGGATCACTCTGCTGGAAAGTTCACTCTGCGTTAGGTGCTAGTTCGCATGGCTTTTTGGCCGCCACACCATCCCTGTTCCCTTTACACCGGTACATTCACGATCAGTCTTCCTTACACGTGACACTCATGTAGAACACTTTATAGATTTAGCACAACTTTACTGGTTTGATTAACTGATTTATACTCTGTTCCAGCTCAGTTTTTGTTGATTAGTCTAGGTGCAGTTTCAAATTCAGTTTGAGGCTGTATTTTTAGAAGGTTTACATTCTAAATTTACATTTAGATCTTCGATTTCATGAAATGGAGCATTTTGATCCTTCATCACAGGACGTTTTGGTATAGAGTATAAATTTGTTAGTTTAGTATGTGGTTCTTCGGGGTCCCTCTCTTTCTTCAGCCTTTGTGGAGCTGATCATTTCCAAGAATTCATGCTGCACCGTTGTTATAATCTTACCGATAGTGATCTGTTGTGTGTGTGTGCATGCCTTTTGCCAAAAAAAAAAAGACATTGTTAATCTCTCACAATCACGTAAAATTCACCAAGGTTTTTCTTTTTATCGAATGCATCAAAACATCTCTGACATGTTTTTAGGCTAAAATGTGTATGTGTGTGTCTGTCTGTGTATGAAATAGTGTTCTGTCCTAAACTTATCGTTTACACAGTGTTGGTCAGACCATCGGAGACCCCTTCATTTGCTGAATTTACAACCTGTCACGTTGGATGAGACATGCCTGTACTTCTCTTCATTATATCTGTACGATCAGCTCTTTCATAAACCAGTATGTTCACATGTGCTAGTAAATTTACGCTCTCTGTCTCTCATATCAATGAAAAAAAAATTCACTCTAAATACTGTGACAAGAATCTTTCTGGTGCCTTCCTCTTCTGTAGGTTTCTAGATGGCCGAAGCCATGCTTCTCGTAGGTCTCTGACATCAAGGCACTAATTTTTTGCACTTACCTTGTTTTTCATTTGCTTTTGTACACTTAATAAAGAATGTGCTTGGCTCTGATAACCCTGGCTTTCTGTTCTTGCTGTAAGTTAATTAATTAATGTTTTTAGGATTAAATTTTTGTTAGCTCCTAATTAAGGATGTGTATGTAATTTATTCCAAATGGGTGGTTTCATGCTCGTTCCACTTCAAATAGTTTCCACCTTTACCCAAACTTGCAAATGTGTAACTGCAGCTGAAGTTTGGTTCCTAATCAGAACCAGTTTCATAGGAAATGTAATTCTTTAAAATGCAGGGGAAGTTACTATAGTTTAAGTGGCTTATGAATATACAACCTCTTAATTATTGACAGCATAAGCCTCTTCCTCCTATCCATGGTTCACTCAATGTGAGTCAGTGTTCTGCTTTTGGCAGTAGGTGGCGGTTGTCTCCACTAAAAGCTTCTAGATGGAGCACAATAGTCATGCTGCTGCAGCTCAAGAGCTAGTGAGTTGACCAACCAGAGAGGCAAGAATATGTTGGTTTTGTCTTGGTATAAATAATCCCTCCCACATATATTTCTCTCTCTCTCTGGCATGCAATACTTTATTTGTATCAGCATATTAGGCGATCATTTCCTGCCAAGTCTTATTTCTCTAAATATGTAGCTGATGTGTTCACTGTGTATATATATATATATATATATATATATATATACACACAGTGGTG